AACTCTCTAAGTAGGCCAGGCTGGCCTCAATGTCACAGCAATCTGCCTGCCTCTGCCTCTGGAGTGCTGGGATCAAAAGGTGTGTGCCACCATGCCAGGCCCACGTGTTCTTTCTTTTAGAAAATGGTGCCAGGATATTCCTGACTAACCAACCCACATGGTAACCCCACACAACTTCCTCTCTCTCACTCTCTTTCTGCAGGTTAAAATATTTTATTTTTATTTTATGTGTATGCTTGCATGTATGTATGTGCAACCATGTGCATGAAGTGCCCCTGAAGGCCAGAAGAGGGGGTCAGATTCCCTGGAACTGGTGTTCCAGATGGCTGTGAGCTTCCAGGTGGACGCTGGGAACAGAGACAAGGTCCTTTGCAAGACCAGTGAGTTAGTCAGTCTTAACTGCTGAGCCATTTCTCCAGCCCCTGCCACCAAGTTCTCTTGCTAGGATTCCCACATACACTTATGCCAGTCCATAAGAAAGTCATGCCCACTAGCCAAGCTAAAAGGGATGCCTGGTCAAAGTCCAGAATGTTTAGTGTGAAACAAAACAGGAAAGCTTCTCACGGCTCCCACAGAACTGGGGGAAAATGAGAAAGTCATAGGCTAGATGAATTGGTGATCTTACCATCTACTCACCCAAGACTCTGTGGGCTCCTCCAAGAAATTACCCAATGCGAGGACCAGGCAACTTGCACCCTCCGTCCTCTCTGCCCTGGAAAGTGCTGGAGACAGGTGTATGAAAAGACTACATGCCTCCAAACCCTGGTTCAGAGGATGCCTAATGGATAACTTCCTATCACAATGCCCACTTACATAAAATATGGGTTAAGTGAGAGCATTCCTTGTTACACATACATGATAGTCATGTCCAGATCATGAAACTCTTCAACTGTATTAACAGATTTGCATCCCTGCTTTTAATTTTTTACCGAATCCTGCCAGTTCTACAAAATTCTATTCCATGACAGGCATGGTGGTCCAAATTACTCAGGAGGTTGAGGGAGGAGGATTTCCTGAGCCTAGGGGTTTGAGGCCAGCTGTGGCAACATAGCAAGATATAGTCACTAAAACATACACATAAACCACATTAAGTTGAAAAACATATATATATATTTTATATATATATATAAAAGTTGTGGTGGCGCACGCCTTTAATACCAGTACTCTGGAGGCAGAGGCAGGTGGATCTCTGTGAGAAGGAGGCCAGCCTGGTCCATATCGCGAGTTCCAGGACAGCTGGGGGCTACAGGGAGACCCTGTCTCAAAAACCCAGCCAAACCAAACCAAATAAAACCACAAACAAAACAAAACACACATAATTCAAGCCAGGTGTGGTGGTTGGACATCTTTAATCCCAGCACTTGGGTTCGAGACTAGCCTGGTCTACATAGAGGTTTCCAGACCAGCTAGGGTAACATAAGGAGAGCCTTTCTTTATATAAATATAAATCTAAATTTAGTAGCCAGAAGCATTGTCCTCTTGGGCTGTTGGCGCCATCTACTGTCAATTGTTGGTGGTTGCATGGGCAGATTCTCTTAAGGCCTTCTTACAGATAATAGTACTTCCTTCTCTTTTTCTTGGTACCTGATGCCCAACTGATGGTATTCATCCAACACAGAAGACCAAGTTGTCTTGGGATTATAGGTTTGTGGAAGGTTGCAAAAATGGAGAGATAGCAGAAAAGTAACTAATACAAAAGTCAACAGAACTGTGGGCTTGGCCTTGCCAAGGCACAGTGGGAAGAGACCAGGAGTGTTGGGGTGGGAGAGAGGCAAACACCAGCGCTGCTCCTGATGAGGGTCTTCCCTTTCCCTTGAGACTACTTTCTGCTTGGTTGGCTGGTTGGCCTCTATCTTTTGGTGAAAGAAGCAATTCTCTCTCTCTCTCTCTCTCTCTCTCTCTCTCTCTCTCTCTCCTTTCTTTCAGACAGGCCCTCACTGTGTATTCCTGGCTGGCCTGGAACTTTCTCTGTAGACCAGGATAGCCTCAAAACCACAACGATCCACCTGCCTCTGCTTCCTGATTGCTGCGATTAAAGACATGTACCACCATCCCCCACTAATGAAAGATTTTTCACAGAGGAAGTGGTGTACATGTATATATGTGTGTATTATGTGTATGCTGGGCCAAAGAAGAGAAGAGTCTTTGAGATGAAGAAGTGGTCATTAGCAAAGATAAAAACAGATGAGGCAGCTCAGTGCCTCTGGAAAACTGCAAATAAAACTGTTGTTGGCATCAGGAGTGCAAGCTCAGATGGGAAACAATAGGAGAGCCGCCTTGAGAGTTCCTAGTGATCTGATTGGCAGAAGGGACACTATCACCTTGGGGACAAGTGTAGAGAGGCAAGTGAAAACTGGAACTATGTCCTGCCTACTGAGACAGCTAGTCGTGTGTGTGTGTGTGTGTGTGTGTGTGTGTGTGTGTGTGTGTGTCTACAGGCACACATACCATATACACATATAATGGCAGTCAAATCTGTCTGGGTGTACGGAGACGGGACTGCAGGAATGACACACATTAAGCAGCTTCAACAGTCTAGGTAAGAATTTGTCAGTGAGGGAGAGATGCATTTGTGTTCTTCGTAGCAGTTGAGTTGCCAAGGTATTCTGCGATGTTCTGTGTGGATAAAGAGCAGATGGAGCTTTTCATCTTTTTCGTATTCTTCCTTCGAGATAGGGTCTTGCTTTGTCGTTGCCTCATCCAGGAACCAGGCTGGCCTGGGACTCACTATAACCCAGGCTGGTGCAAATGTATTTCCCAGCTTCCACCTCCCTGCCTCTGGGGTGACAGGATTGCATCACCACGCCCAGCTGTCACTCTTTGTCTTGGCCCCTGGACCAGTGAGTGATTTGAGGTAGGAAATGATAAAGAAGGGACACACTGTGAACCGAGAACAGATGAGTGGGGGAGACCAGTTTAACTCTGGATGTTCTGAGCAATAGCACACTTGCAATGTATTCAGCTATGGGCCTGTAAAACTGTATTAGGGTCAGCAGCCTGAGTCATGAATATGGTTTTACTGTCACAGTTGGCATCCAGAGTTGCTGTCTAATTGGTTCTTCACCATTTTCTGTACTAAAGGTTCTGACCTGTGCTTGCTTTGAGATCGTTTTTCAAACACTGCAGGGCTGGCTATGCTCTGTACATGTCCAGATCCATTCTCTGTCCTCCTGTGCTGTTAGGCAGGCAAATGGCTGACTGCAGGGACTGCATCCCTGGGTCATCTCACCCTCACAGGCATGTCCATGCAGCAGTTCTGCATCTGCATGCATCCCAGGAGAGGTATGAAGAGGCCCGATATATTTATAGATGGAAGTGTCATGTTGCAATGTCAAAAGCATGAACACCTCTTCCAGAAGCTATTGGGAATGTGGCCAATGGGCAGCATAGGCAGAATAGAAGTGAGGGACGTGAGGCCAGGAGTTCAAGTCCTCCCACTCCCCCTGTCAGGCAGCTGGGGCCAGGTGACTTCCCTCCCCCACAGTCACAGCTTCATAAAGCTGTATGTAGACATCTCCCTTTGCCAGAGGCCAGTAATATACCACTCTTGGCTTGTCACGCATTGGATATATTTTATGTATCTTGGAGGATCACGTGCAGAAGTTTGGTCCCCAGTGTGGTAATGTAGAGATGGTGGAACATTTAGGAAGGGCTCCTAGTGGAAAGTAACTAGATCATGGGGTCACAGTCCCTCAAAAGGACTAATGGTGCTGTGCTGGATAACTTTAGTGTGAACTTGACACACCTGGGTTGAGGGAGCCTCAGTTGGGGAATTGCCTCTATTGGACTGGCCTGTGGCCATGTCTGAGGGGCATCTTCTTGATGAGTGATGTGGGAGGGCCCAGCCCACTGTGGGTGGTGCCACCCCGGGCAGGTGGGCCTGTGTTGCATAAGAAAGCAGGCTGAAGAGGGGCCAGGGGAGCAAGCCAGTAAGCAGCGTTCCTCCATGGCCTGTGCTCCAGCTCCTGCTTCCAGGTTCCTGCCCTGAGTTCCTACCTTGGGCTTTCTGATGAACTGCAACCTGGGAGATGTAAGACAAATAAACCCTTTCCTCCCCAAGTTGGTATTGGTCAGAGTATTTTGTCACAGCAATGAAGAACAAACTAGGACAGGTACGTTCTAGGACTGGATTATTTGTCATAGAGTCAGTTGTTACAAAAAGGGAGAGCCTGGGCCTTGAAACTGTTCAGCTTCCTGTTTCCTGTGTGAGCTCTTCCACATGTGATCCTGCACCCACCATTTTGGTTTCATTCTTGATGAGGCCCTCAGCAGAGGTTAACCTGGCCGGGCTATGCACTAATTGACGTTTCACTTCTAAAACTGTGAATTTTTGTTGTTGTTGTTTTTGTTTGAGACAGGTTTCCCTATAGCCCCAGCTGGCCTGAAACTCACTATGTAGACCAGGCTGGCCTTGAACTCACAGAGATCTGCCTGCCTCTGCCTCCCAAGTGCTTGGATTAAAGGTGTGCACCACCATGCTTGTTTTAAACTGTGAGCTTTTAAAAATATTTATTTTTATTTATGTGCATGTATCTGTATGAAAGTATGCCATTTGTGTATGGGTGCCTGAGGAGGCCAGAAAAGGGTATCAGCTTCCCATGGAGCTGGAGTTGCAGGCGGTTGGGTGTCCCCTGATGTCGGTATTGGGAGCAGAACTCAGGTCCTCTAGAAGAGCAATCTATCTTTCTTTCTCTCTCTCTCTCTCTCTCTCTCTCTCTCTCTCTCTCTCTCTCTCTCTCTCTCTCTCTCTCTCTCTCTCTCTCTCTCTCTCTCTCTCTCTCTCTCTCTCTCTCTTTCTCTCTTTCTCTCTCTCCCTTCCTTCCTTCCTTCCTTCCTTCCTTCTTTCCTTCCTTTTTATTTTATGTGCATGAGTGTTATGCCTGCATGTATATAAGTGCACCCATGTTTCACTGTGTCCACAGAGGCCAGAAGAGGGCATTGGATCCCCTGGAATTGGAGTTATGTATGGTTGTTAGCCACCAGGTGGGTGCTGGGATTCGAACCCAGTTCTTCTGCAAGAGCAGCCAGCGCTCTTAACTGCTGAGCCATCTCTCAGTCCCTGACACTGAGTTATAATCTCATTTCCTTTTAGATTACCCAGCCTCAGATATTTTGTTCTGACACCAGAAAACAAACTAAAACCTTGTCCTTTCAGGCTTGGAGGACGTCGCTCTTCACTGTGTTTCCTCAATTTTTAACATTATTTCCTGGTAATCTCCTTGAACCCTGATCACATATTTGAAAGAAATACTCTTAGCAAATTCTCCTCAGGTGATCCAGCTTGATGTCTGATGATGTCATCACTTTTTGCCATGACCTTGATTCATATAAACTCTCATTCCCTCTTAAGATAACCCTTTTAGGCGCCTGGCAGAGAATGCATGAAGGGCAAACACCTTGCAGGCGGGAACAGTCTTGAGTCCTGGCTCCAACATCAAATAGAATCCAAGGAACAGTTACTACCATTTTCTCTTTCTACCTCCGAACTGTAAGTGTCCCTCTGCTGCAGTTGAGTCATTAACAGGGTATCTAGGGAAAGGAAGGAGAGAGGAAATACAAAGGCTTTAATGAAGAGGAATTACCTTTAATGTCTTTAACTGAACTGAATTAGACATATATCACAAGTAACAACTGAAAAAAATTCTATATACCAGGCTAGGAATTTTAATGATTTTGAAAACTACTTGCTCTTCAGTGGAAACATGCATTAGGATTGAGGCTGTAAAATGATTTTAGCTCCTTTCAAAGAATGTCTAGCCCTTATAGAAAGTGTCGCTATATCTTGGACTGAAGGGATAGTGCAGCCGTTAAAGACTAAGGCTAACAACTAAAAATGAAAGTGTTGCTATATCTCTTGATTTCTAGTTGAGAAATAAGAACCTAACTAAGAAGGGGATTCCAAGGCAGCCTGACTTCCATGTGACCATAAAGGCGCCGGGCTATTCCCAAACCTGGATTTCAGGGAAGGGTGATGGAGTCTTCCAGGATTTTCCTCAGGATGGTTTTGGTGTCCTGGGCAACTAACTCAAGCACACGTCTGTGTCTCACGCGTCTAAACCGGTGGATGACACAGTGACATAAGCGTGGGAGACACCCAAGAAAGCGGAGGAGCTCATTCATGAATAAACAAGTCATCAGCTTCAGTCTCCAGTCCCCTCTGCGGATAGTGTGCAAGTCTTGGGACTTTATATTGGTCTTGTACTCCATCACCACTGTCCCCATACTCTGAGCCACCTGCTGAAGTGATTCATCATCCACACCAAAGAGCAATCGGAAAGCTTTCAGACACTCCCTCAAATCATCCTCATTCCTGATATCAAGAGTATTCTTCAAATGCCCCTTGGCTATTGTCTCCTTCCAGGAGGCCACTTTATCGTTAATGATCTTCTCACAGATGCTGGAAAGGGTTCCTAAGGGATCACAGCACCTGATGTTGGAGAGGTCTCTATGCAGTGTGTCCCTAAGCTTTGGGAAGTCATGCAATAAAGGGTCTAGGTTGGATACCAGGAATATAGGGGGTTCCTGTACCCTCTCCTTCTGGAGGTTTTCCTGGATATTCTCTCGGATATTCTGAAGGAGCCGGATCTCTGAAAGGACACTTGTGCTGAGGTCTCTGTCCAGCTTAGTCCAGACAACATAGAATCTCTTTCCCATCTCTTGGATGGCTTTGGCAAGCTTCACGTGATTTGAGCTGAACTGCTCAGATGCAGTGATGATGAAGAAGCCATACTGGCTGAACTGCATCTCTTTCAGATAGTTTTCCACGCTCTGTGCTGTGGCCCCTGTACCAGGCAGGTCCCACAGCACCACGTTGGGGAAGTGGGAAGAAGAATAGGAGGCCGGCGTCTGGGTGGTCCTCACCACCCCAGTGGGAGCCGAAGCCGCCTCCTCATGGCCGATGACTCGAAGTGCATTAATGAAGGATGACATGCCATTGCCTGTGTCCCCAGTCACAGCGATGCTCACTGGAGTCTGGGACAATGCTGCCACGGTCTTCTTGATCACAGACACCAGTTCCAGAAGCTTCCCCTCTTTCAAGGCCCTTTCAATATTCTTGCTGACCTCAGGTAAAATTTTCCAGCCTGTATGGTATGACACGACGGAGGTGAAAGATGAAGACAGTGGGGTGTAATGGGACACAGAGGTCTCTGTCATGTTGCCGAGGAGCGGAGCAGCCTGTGGAAGTAGAAGAGGGGAAGTTGGTCACAGGTGATACAGGAATTAGTGGACTTCACATTCCAGCCTCGGTTTCAGATCCATAACCAAAGAGAGAGCAAAAAATCTCATTTACAAACAGAACACTTCGGGAGATTTGCACATTCTTAGAAGGGAAGACGGTCCTGAGGATTGAGCTATAACCATTGTGTGAAGGGTGCTGCTCTACATGTGTTCAGTGGGAACGCGGGGCCCTTCTTTAGTTCAAATGAGTAGATGGAACTGACACTTGGAAATTCTGGAACGCAGCTCTCCACATCCAGCCACCCATTGGTGAGGAGCAGCAATTCCTCAGGAATGTCCTCCTGAGTCAAGTATAACTTAATTTTTTTTTTTTGTGGTCTTTTTGAGACAGGGTCTCCCCATAGCCCCAGCTGTCCTGGAACTCAGTATGTGGACCAGGCTGGCCTCGAACTCACAGAGATCTGCCTGCCTCTGCCTCCTGAGTGCTGGGATTAAAGGTGTGCGCCACCACACCCGGCCAAAACCATTATTTTTTGGCTGAAGTATTGTTCTTTGAGCCTCACAAGCCTTTCTGTTCCACTAGGAGCACCTGTGGTGACCCTTGAATCATCTGCGGACTTGGTTTGTCCTCACATTGAGGTAGGAGGCTTCCCCAGAAGGCCTAGTTATTTGTCTGAAGGACAACGTTCATGGCCATGGTAGGCCCCCACAGTGCAGCCTTTTGCCCTCCGCAATCTCTATGGGTGCCCCTTCACTTGCATCTCTCCTCAGGGTGGCTCCTGCCTATACTCCAGTTCTGCTCCCCATAGTCTTGGGGTTCCTATCCAGTCTCAGGACCTGGACTCTCTTCACACAGAGGGAATGTGCTAAGAGCTCCTTGAAATGTGGACAATTCTCTGGAGCTACAGTTTTCCTCCTTGTACACCAGGAAGTCATGTTACCCACCTCCCAGGACTTGTGTGATGGTTTCATGACAAGATTCTCGTGATGCGCTCTGCACGGCTCTCAGCTTTTTGGTGATGCTCTCTGGTCTTATTAGGATCTCTGAGGACTTCCTCTGGTTGTTCGTCCTCTCTCCGACTTTAACCACACAGCAAGAAGGTCCTATGTCTGTGAATCTGTGTTGGGTCCTTTGCGTGCATGCCTTAACTCACTTAATATTCCTCAAACCCTATTAGATAAGTGATATTTATTATTGCTGATTATGGGTGAATAAACAGAGAATTATTAACAAATAGTCATTATTTTTGAGACAGGCGGCTTTATCTATGTAGCCCAGGCTGGTCTTAAACTCATGATCCTTCTGCCTTGGTCCCTTTAGTGCTAGAATTACAGGGCTATACCACCATGCTCAATAACAAGTCTTTCCTTTTCTTTCTTTCTTTCTTTCTTTCTTTCTTTCTTTCTTTCTTTCTTTCTTTCTTTCTTTCTTTCTTTCTTTCCCTTCCTTCCTTCCTTCCTTCCTTCCTTCCTTCCTTCCTTCCTTCCTTTCTTTTTTTTGAGACAGGGTCTCTGTGTAGCACCAGCTGACCTGGAATTCGCTATATAGATTAGGCTGGCCTTGAACTCACAGAGATCCACCTGCTGCGTTTCGAGTGCTGGGACTAAAGGCGTGCACCACCATGTCTGGCTCCAATAACAAATCTTAAGCTACATAGGGTGCTTAAGAGATCCAAAGGTTGACCCCTAGACTGTAATTCCATGTTTCTGCCTGAATAGTGAAGACAGTCCTACCTCACAGAAACTGACGATTTGCTGGATGCTGAGGTACTTCCCTTGGGAACACTGGCTCACTTACTGCTACCAAATTGTCATTTATCCTTTAGCTGGATATGTCTTTCATAATTTTGAAAGATGGTGTGCTGGATAGCTTTAGTGTCAACTTGACACACCTGGGTTGAGGGAGCCTCAATCGGGGAATTGCCTCTATTGGACTGGCCTGTGGCCATGTCTGAGGGGCATCTTCTTGATGA